AACCATACTCTTCTCTTATTACACAATTTCTTACCCTGTCGTTCAGATTCAGCCCTAACATACTCCTTAAGGACCGCATTTCTACTGCGTTGATTCTACTCTCATGCTTCTTCTGCCACACCCAACTTTCACTACCATACGTTAAAGTAGGGACCAACACAGCATTGTGAATTGCCATACGTGCCTTTTTTGACACATTTTGACTCTTCACAATAGAGTGCAGGGCCCCATTTACTCTATTTCCCGCATTCACTCGTCGTTCTATATCCTTATCATATCTTCCATCCCTGCTAAATACGCAGCCCAAATATACAAACTCATCTACTTGCTCGATCAACTCCCCTTCTATTATTATTTCACAAATCGTTTTACTTTCTTCTCTTTCAAAAACCATAACCTTCGTCTTACTTGCGTTCATTTTCATACCCCTTTCTTTTAATGATCTGTTCATTAATGTAACCATCATTTGCAACTCGGCCGCCGACGACGCAAGGATAACTTGATCATCGGCGTACAAAAGGCATTTGACGGTTAACTCACCCATTCTTAATCCGCATTCTTCAACTTTCAAATTTTGCAAACAACTGTCCATAAATAGGTTGAACAGCCACGGGGAAGCCACACAACCCTGTCTGACACCTTTATGGATGTCAAACCAGTCCGAGTAGACCCCGTTGATCCTAACACAAGCACTAGAGTCCCTATAAAGAGACTCCAATGCCTGTATCAAGCCAGCGCTCAACCCAAATGAGTTCAGTGTTTGCCATAGCACATCCCTATCCACTCTGTCATAGGCCTTTTCCAAGTCCATGAACGCACAAAAAACCTTTTGGTTTTTGGCCAAAAACTTCTCCGCGATCATGCGCATGGAAAAGACTTGATCTGTACATCCCATTCCCTTTCTGAATCCCGCTTGCACATCCCAAATTTTTCCATCAGTTTCTTTCATGACCCTTTCAATCAGTACCTTAGCATACAGTTTTCCCACAATGCTAAGAAGGCTGATGCCACGGTAGTTTTTACAGTCCTGCTGCGACCCTTTTCCTTTATATACTGGGACTATCACGGCTTTGCACCAGTCTACCAGTACCCGCTTTAGTTCCCAGCATAAATTAAACAAGGTGTGCAGCAGGCCTGCCATGACTTCCTCTCCAGCCCTTAGCATTTCGAGTGAAACTCTATCACATCCGGCAGCCTTACCTGCTTTCATGCTTTTCATTGCTTTCATTATTTCATCTATACTTATCTCGCTACCTCTTTCTTCTTCTTTCGGAGTTTCTACTTCACTAGGTACACACGTTGTCTCCTCACTCATAAACACGCATTCAAAATATTCCTTCCATCTCTTTAAACTCAAAACTTCATCTTTCAGAATATAGCCATTCTCGTCTCTTATAACATTCATCATAGGCTGTTTTGAATGTCCCCTGGCAGTTCTTACAAGTTTCCAGAACATTTTAATATTTGCCTGGAAGTTATCCGATATTCTTCTATCATTCTTATCCGTTCTTTCTTGCTTTTTTCTTTCAACTACTTCTTTTACTCTTTTATTAAGATGTTTAAAGACTGCCTTTTTTCTTTCAATATCATCATTCGTACCGCTAGAATTACCAGCCTTTGTTACTAGTAAACCTAGCCATGCTCTCTTCTTTGCTTCAACTTCCATACGTATCTCATCATCCCACCATAACGTATTATTTTTCCTTTCGTTCTTCCTCTTACTAACACCACATACTTCGGTAGCTGCATCCACTAAACCTTTCTTTACATTTTACCATACATTCTCCATTTTTTACGTTTAGTAATTAAAAGTGTGAACTGTTTATAAAACTTTTTAAAATAGTCCAAATTATTTTTAGACATAAAAATGATTTTTTTTTAATTACCCCGCTGCTATTATAGCGCCAACCTAATTTAACGGATTTCGACCTTTGACTAGAGAGGATTTGGTTTGTAGTTTTGTCGGGAACTTGGCCGTAGACGGATTGTCGCTCCTGTTTTGTCGCTTGAATAATAGTTTGAAGTGTTTGATTCGTAAAAGTGATGTGATTTTGTGAATTAAATGTCCGCGCGTGTGAACTATCATAGAAAACGACGAAACAAGTGCTTTGATGTCGATATAAACTTCAAGTTATTTTGATCGGTTAGACGCCTGGTGAACTTGAGTGGCTGTCGTCATCAAATGTTCCCTAGGTATAGCTGTCATCAAAATCTCCCAAGGGCTTCGCAATGTGACGCATCAGCATATTGTGAAGAGAAGAATATAAAATGATGATTACGAAAGAAATGATAGGCTCAGAAGGGCTAGAACCCAGAGCCGTAAAGTCAGTTTAATAAAAAAATTGAGGAGATTTGAGGTTATATAGTAAATAAATATAATACAAATTAATTATTTCCAAAGCAAACTCAATACGACATTAAATTATTAAAATTATGTCGCTTCTTAATACTTTTTTCACAAAAAATATATGTAAGTTTTGTAATATATACTTTAATTTTAAACATATTGCGTTGCTACATAAATGTTTCTTTTATTGTTATTTAGATTTTAGAAATCTTATATTCGATCTTCACATGCAACGCTCACTTCATGTTTGGATATATTATCATACAATTGTAATAAAACCAAGAGTGGGAGCCAGGAGATCTATAATAGTATAGTACAGAGTTATACATTAGTTTCTGCTCCTGTCTCCCACGACAACCAAAAATGCTTGAACTATTTGTGAGAAAAATGTAATTGTGTAAAATGTGGGAGAAATTGATGTTTAAAATGTGGAAAGGGACCCCGAGACGGTCAAACAGTTTGATTCAAACCTTACGTGTTTGACCAAACCGTCAGATGTTGCTTTGAATTTGCATCAAACAGAAGCGCGCAGTGTGGTTTCGAAGTTCAATCAAAAAAGTCCTATTGTGATTTCAAAAATGACGTCGAATATGGATAAAGGTTTTCTTACGTTTATTGTATTAATGTCTTGCTTAAAAATAATAGGAAAAAAAGAAAAAGAATTTTGTGCAAAGAATGGTACAAATTAAGATATTGTTTGATATAGTCTTTGGATATAGTCACTTCCGACAACAAATCATGTCGTGATGATGTTGAGACATTTTTAATGTCTATTTCATCTTCATCTGACATTTTGGAAACCACACAGAACATATCGCTTCTAAATTCAGCACAAGACTGCTGAGGTTTGATCAAACATGTCGTGAACATGATCAAATGGCGCTTCAATCAAAACCAAAATATAAATTTCCATCAAACAAGCTTCGAACATGTAATGTTTGATCAAGCCTGTCAAACCAATGGCATAAATGTTCAAACTGGTTTGACTCAAACCAAAATCTACATGTTTGAATCAAACAGTTTGACCGTCTCGGGGCCCCTGAAGAAATAAATGTTTATTATAATTACATTAAGACTTATATTTTGTAACTACAATTTGTAAGCAAGAATTCATTTTTACAGATTCAACAACACGACGTATTTTAGTATTAACTATGAGACCATCATCAACAGAATCTAGCGAAAATGATGCCCCAATTGAAATGGAGAATCCATTTAAAAAAGAAAGACGCCAATGCATTCTTTGTCAACTAAACATAACTCCAGATTATAAAAATTACAGGCTTTTGTCACAATTTCAAAGCCCTTACACTGGCAGAATATATGGAAGGCATATAACTGGCCTCTGTAAAAATAAGCAAGCTTTAGTAGAAGCTGAAATAAAGAAAGCTCAAAATTGTGCGTACATGCCTTATTACTACAAAGATAAAACCTTCCTAAAAGACCCAAAGTTGTTTGATCCTCAAAATCCTATTCGATCACATCATTTTTAAAATATTAGGTAACAAACATATAGATTATAGTATTATAAAATAAAATGTCTCATTTTTGTTTCAACTTGCTTTTTATTTCACAAAACTAATAGTAATTTTTGACTTAACTAAATAAGCATACTCAAAAATACCTGCATAAAGTTCCCTATTCACTAACTCTGTTGACATTAAAATAATAATAATAATAGATAATCACTGTAGTTCACGGTGCCTTTTACAACATAGTTTTTCTAAGAGATGTACCATGGCTCATAAAATATGACACAATTGCACCATAAAGTTACTATCATTATGGTGTCATCAAAGTGAGAAATGGTAATTTGCCATTATTGTCTGCATTGTAAAATAGTGAACAATACAATAAGAAGTGATAAAGTGTAATTTCTTGTTGCATATTTATTAAAATGGTCCTTTGAGTCAATACTGCAACATGGCTCTACTATGTGAAAAAATCCAATTATTTTATTCATTAATTCATGACAAAACCTACAAAGTCCACATCAAAACATAGGCCTCCTCCATAAATAGGGGGGATATTCGTCATAGTTGCCACTCTTGGGTATCAGTGTTATTATTTGAGCTGTAACTGACCACGTAACGGTGGTGTAATATTATCTACTACCCCATAAAAAAAAAAACAAAAAAAGCACAAAAAAAACCCTAGCCATCTTCCGTGGATGTCGTAAGAGGCGACAGAGGCAAACCAACCAGGAGATGGGCAGCAGTGTTTTACCAATAATACCTAAAATATAAAAAACTGGTTGTTAACCCACTCATAAAACATGCCAACTAAGGCAAATATCCCCTCTAAAAGACAATCTATTGGAGGCCTATGTTCAGCAGTGGACTTATGATACTTTGTAACAAGCTATTATCACAAAGCTGCTACTTCCCATCTCCAGTTTCAGTTTCCCAACGCCCTCTCTCACCACACCCATGGTATGATATTGGGTAGTGGGTTCTCTTACTATGTATGCCACTATACAGCAGTAATGATTTTTTTTAGTAGTTGTATTAAATCTTGTGACATGAAAATATATAAATAATCCATTTCATATTTATTTATCAAAAATAATAAACTAAATGTAAAAATTGTGTGTTACATTATAAAATCCTATAGTCCTTAAGTATTAGAGAAATAAGACTATTGCACATACACACTACAAATCATTAAATGTTAATGCCAGGATACTATTATCATCAGGGGTAACAAAACAATCATTTTCAGGATCGTATCCTACGAGATCATGTGGTATTTTTAACATATCTAAAATATTGGAGTAATCCATATTAGATTGATCTGGCAATTTTTTCTTCATTAGCTCTAGTAGCTCCATTAGAGCATCTTGACAACCTTTTTGCCATTTCTTTATTAGGCCTCGCAATTCTTCTGTTTCTTTAGTCATTGCTTTTGCAAAAAGAAGTTTTTTTTTAGTTTCAATTCTAGCTTTCAGTTCATCTATGTCCCTTTGAGTTATTGAACCAGTTGATTTAGCTTTTGAAATCTTTGTAACTTTGTCATAAGATTTCCGAACTAATATAGTCCTTTTGTTCATTTCAAAATCATCATCATCATCATCTTCAAAGGAATTTGAGCTCTGTGATGATGAATTTAAAGCTATTTGTTCTATTTTCTTTTCTGGTAGGTTTTCATCTTTAGAATGCTTAGTAATTTTATGGGTTTTCTTTTTTTCTGAAGTAGCTATCTTTCTATCTTTAAGTGATGATTTGTTCATTGACTGCTGTACTTTTGGTTCCTTAGTACTCTTAATGTTACTGAAATCATCATTTAAGCTTTCTTTTTGTAAATCTTCTTTTTTGTTCATACAGCTTAGTGGAACATCATCAGAGTCAGAATCAAATATAACTTGAGACATGGAATTATTTTTTCTTTTACAAATATCATTTTTGGTTCTATTTTTATTTGCTGGTTTAAAAATTTTATTTTGTATGACAACAATGCATTCTTTTGTTAAGTTATTTGGCACTTTTGTTTGTGCTATAACCACATTTTCACTGGTGCTTTCTTCACAAATTGGTTCTAAATTGCCTTTCTTTTTTTCATTTGGTATTTCAGTTCGTTCGGATTGAATATTTACTTCCCTTTCTAACACTACTTGTGTTGGAGACTTATTTTCCAAATTTTCACTATTGCTTGTTTGTTGCTCCTCTTGTGCTGTATTCTCTGTTTGTCTTACTTCTGTGCACACATTTAAATTGCCTGGGTCCTGTATGTGTATATAACTTGGATTTTTTGTGGTTTCCCTACTTTGTGCACAACTAGATGATGATAACAATGTTTTAGACTTTTTTCGTTTAACTTTTCTGATAGGAGTGTTAACTGTACTATCCTGACCAAGTGGTGGTGTTGAAATAACTTCACTGTTAACATTTTCCACTGTATTATCAACTACAGGTGTAAGTTGTATATTTTCAGGCTCCTCATCGACACAAAGTTTTCTTTTTCTTGACTTTTTTTCTTCTCCGTCCTCGTCAGAGGGCTTAATAGTATTGCTCGCAAGTGGAGACACGAACGGTGATGATCCTGGTTTCTTCCATTTCCTTGAAAGCCCGAGTCGTCTAATAGGCGTTAAAAGAGATTTACTAATTCCACCTGGAGTTTTTGGGGAATCACATTCATTAAACTTTTTATCACTGTTTTTCATATTTAGGACAATTTTATAGTTAACAATATACCTACATAGTGTTTGCAAACAAAGTCCCAATAAACATTTTCATTCTTCTCTTTGGATTTTTCTTTTGCCGCCAATGTAGTCAGAAACATTTAAAATTTAATTGACAGTAGCACAGAATACTAATTTTTTTTATTTAACTGGCTTTATAGCTTTAGGTACTAGCCCTTCTGAGCCTATCATTTCCACAAACTAATAAGAGTACTAAATCATTTCTTTCAAAATCTTCATTTTATATTTTTTTTCTTCACAATCTGATGATGCGTCACATTGCGAAGTTTTTGGGAGATTTTAACGACAGCTCAACCAACGGATGACAACAGCCAATCAAGTTCATAAGGCCCCCAAGCAATCAAATTAACTTGAGGTTTATATCAACATCAAAGCACTTCTTTCGTCGTTTTCTCTAGTAGTTCACACGTGCAGATAGTTAATTCACAAAATTACATCATTTTTGCGAATTTAAATCCACTTCAAACCATTATTCAAGCGACAAAACAGGAGCGACAGTCCGTCAGCGGCCAAGTTCCCGCATAAACTCAAGAACACTATCAGGAGCGTAGACAGCATGGAGGTTAGAGAACAGGAGATCGATCACTACGTGCTAAAGCATAGCCCGCCTGTTCCTGAAAATTTGTAGAATTTATAGCCGCGCTGACGTCGGTACGTACCTAGTATCTGCGAAGTAATTTTTTAATAATTGACAAAAAGAAACATTATAAAATGATGAAATATTATTAAAAAATCAATATAATAATAATTAATAATTTATATTTGTAATAATTTATAATATTTATAATAATTAAAATTATAAAAAAAAAACAATTTATAATTCATTTATTAATAAATAATAATTTCGTTATTTTCTTTTTTTTTTCTTTGAATGATATTATAAATATTTCAAACTATAAATATATACATAGCACACAATACTAAATATATACATAGCAACCATAAATATATTCATGCACACAACTGTCTGCTTTTATTGAGACAACTTAGCGATCGCAGCGCCGCACTTATTTTGTCCATATTTCTGGACACTATTTTCTACAGCGATCTTTCTCCTGTTCTTTAACCTCCATGGTAGATAGAGAAAAAGTCATAGAGATATATAGTTCTAAGCATAGAGATTAGAGAGAAGCTTAGCTTTCTCAAAAATTAAAAAATTGCGGAGCACGATTATTTTCTCAACAATGCCGCGAAGAAAATTTATACATTATTCAACTAACTTCATCTACTTATACTCATAAACAGCTAACTTCACAGATACTACTTACCGACGGCAGTTCAGGGACAGGCGGGCTATGCTTTAGTATGTAGCGATCGTTCTTCTTCTCTCTAACTTCCATGGTTCTAAGTCTGGAAAAAGTAGTGTGCTGTCTGGAAAAAATGTGGCACGCATTCCATTTCATTCCTTTACATGTCCCTTACGACATCGGCGTAAGTTGCTCTTTCTCTTGTGTGACTGCGACAAAAGATATCAATTTGTCTATAGCATTCTCTGTCTACGATGAAAAGCATTCAGGAGTAAGATTTTATGGAAGTATTATTTGAGTAGGTATTATCAGATATTATACTTCTCCGTCTACGTATTATATCTAGTCTTCTATGTCAGTAATCACTATAACCACAAACTAATAAGAAGTATAGAAAAATAATACAATTATAAAATATTCTATAATCTGTGGTTACGTAGCTCAGCGTAGATAGAGAAACCTATACACAAATTGACGCCTTCTTTCGCATTCGCACACGAAAATGATAGATTTATGCATACGTCTAGCATAAAAGTGAGATAGGGCGGTGTGATTGTTTGTCCCTTTCTCCGTGCCGGTTTTTTTGTTTAGCAAACTGTAGAGTTTGCTAAACAACTTTAACAGCGTAGCGATTTAAGGAGTTTACAAGTTGATTTAAGTGAGAAAAAAGTGTTTTGTGAGCTTAAGATTGGTGAATCTTGTTCAGTTCAGTTCTTAGAACAATTAAAATTTTTATCTAAATGTGTTTAAAAGTCATAAAGATTACTGTATAACCTAAAAATTCGTTATCCTCCTTTCTCACTCGAGGCCACGCCGATCATTAGTCTATAGGTTTCTCTGTCTACGTAGCTCAGTACTTATGGAGTGTAGAAGTAAAGAGTACAGACTGTGTATTAAAAAGTGTCCATAAAAACCTTTAAATAAGGGTGGCGCCACTATAGCTATGGGGTAAATTTTAAAGAACGCACCGAAAAATATTAGTGGGATAGACGACTTTTTCGAGGTTATATTTACTAAATAAAATTATTTTAGATTTTAGAGCTACTGATCAGTTTAGTAGCACACTTAAACCGGCGACAACTGCTAAGTTCATTTCATCCCAGTAGCTACTCCAGCGCTGTTGTGGAGAGTTTTTGAGCTGTTATTTACTGCTTACCACGATGACCACTTTTTCTACTATGGGAGTTGGAACTCTTTACTTCTACACTCCATATCAGTACTGCGTTGGCGTACTTAAATGTTTGCGATTCATTTTATTACAAAAACTGTTATCTACGTCATTTTTCACATTGTGACTTTACGTGGTGATTTTTACATTTTTTTTTTTGAATACATTACTTTAAACAAAAACGTTTACGTTTAATTTAAAAAAATACATACCAGTAAACAATAGGCACCTTTTAATTTTAATGACGTATTGGTATAACTTACTGATTTAAAAAACCAATATCATTAAAGATTTGACATAATCATTAATTGATACGTAGACATCTTGTAAACGAAAATCAGGTAATATGCAAATTATTATAATAATGAAAATTATTTTACTATTATAAAAATTAGGTTTGTAAACGCAAAATATTTTTTGAAGATTTTATTAAATGTAACACACTTAAAATAACATTATTGTTTAGATTCTGACGTTCAAATTAGCTACTATTCAGTACGCTAGTTTTTAGTTTGTGCTATAGAGTAGATGGAAAGCATTTTACTTTCATTGAGTTATATGTACTACGTACTAGAGAAGCTATTCCATACAAAAAATGTGCACTACTCAGTCCTCGCGCATGCGCGTGAAACAGTACAGTCACGCATGCATTGATATAAACGCGTGAAAATTGTCATCATGTATGTATTATGCGTAAATAGAAAGATATATTGTTAATCGAGCACATTTTTTAAATTTTTTGTTTATTTTGCATATGTGCTAATTTAATTTTCGTATTATTAGCGCCACTTCGCACTGCATGAATATTGAAGCCACAATAACAGGTGTACGGATTGCAGAACAGTTGAACATAGTCAGTGTTCGGAATGCGAAATCTAGTGCGTAGTACATATATATCGATGTTTACATAAATGTAAAAAACCAAAACAAAAAAAGACCAAAAAGAAAAACAAGGGCGAAACAAAAAAAAAAAAATAAAATAACCCATTACAGATACTTCACAATGTGACTCATCAACATATTATTGTGAGAAGAAATTGTTAAACAAAAATCTAAAAAACGAAGATCCCGAATCAAATGAAGACATGGCTTAAAAGACAAGCATCTAGGTCAAAATTTTTAAATAAAAAAATACCAATACCAAATCCGAATTAAAGTTGTTCAAAACGACTATAAATCAATAGCACGCTACAGACTATAAACTATAAATTTCTAGCACGCTATTAAATACGCTATGTTATAGCGCGCTATTTATAAGAAACCGTGTAGGAGGCCGGTAAGCGCGTTAAGTTTTACAGCACGTTACATCTCTTAGCACGTTACATTACATGTCGTTCATTGGATAGATTGCGTGCTACATAAGAACTTTATTTCGTAATAAGACGCATTTTAGACTAAAATAAAATAAAGCGGTAAAGAAAAACCAATGCACGCGTTTTCATACTTTTCAGGCTTACTACTTTCTATAATCCTAAAAATATTTTTAAATATGTACTATTTAAAATAGAATTAATTTTATTTTTAGGATTGAAATAAAATTAATAATTTTTTATTATAATTGATGATATCGTTATTTTAATCTTAATATAAATTATAAATCAAATAAAGGTGTATTTAAAAGTTTATTTATTGTATTTATAAAAATCAATTATTTACATACACTTTGGTATCTATATTTTATCTACATTTAAAAACATTAGTTAGGCTTCTTTTATCACAACTGTGTCCTTTGATCATTTATAAATATACGGTATACACTAACTAAACAACGTCTAACATTAAATTAGGTCGCGCGCGATGAATAGCGCGCTACGAGATCAAATTTGCGTCACACGTCCTCTCCCAACAGCGCTGCTGCTAGAACTAATTGCCGCTAGATATTAAAGCTGAGAACAAATTATCAGACGCGTCCATCAGCCGCGGCTGTCAGACGCGGCTTAAGCTGAGAACAAATTATCGGACGCGGCTGACGGACGCGGCTGACAGCCGCGGCTTATTGAGATCTAGCCAGTACATTTAATACTACACTGTGCAAACTATCGGCCGTAAGACGCGGACATGACCTTGCGTCGCTCTTGAGCGTTCGGACGTCCGAACAGAATCTGGCCGGCTGGATGTTTGGTGCGTCCGCGGACAGTGTGAACGGGGCACGGGACGCATCCGCGGACGTTTCGAGTGTCACAAGCGAACCAACTGCGCTCGCGACATGATGTGTCATGAAAAAAAATTTATTGAATGTGTTCATGGCCACGAGTGCCTATATTTATAAGTACATATTAGCACATTCATAAGTACATTTTTTAACGTTTATCATCTTTCTGTAAGTCTGGATACAATGTATGAAATTCATCATACTCGAGTCGTTTTACATTAATATCATGGACAAGGAGTGTTTGGGTCTCCTAGTTTTTGGAGGACGACATAAAGCAGCTGCCGCTAACTTTATAAATTCGTCCTCGCTGTCACTGTTTGTCATGTTTCTCGATTGACAAAACCTTTTTAGAATGACCGAAGCGAGGCGTCCGAGGACGCCGTCTCAGCTACCG